GGTAATTTCAATATCTCCAAAGTTTGGCAAGTCTTTCCAGTATTGATTTTCCAGATTCCCGCTATCATTGGTACTGCCCAGAATCGGAGACATATGACTCGCCCGACCAGACTTGACAGCATCTTGGATCGCTCTGATGCCAAACTAGACTAAAATGTGCTTGTGGCCTGCCCTGCGATACGTGCGTTCGTGGACCATGTCCGTATGCCTGTTCGTGCCGGCCTCTCATAATGCTACCACCTGCCTCACATGGGTCCTCTTTCCGACGGGACGACGGTTGCGGGGTTTAACTCGCTGCTTTTTGACAAAGAGACTCCGCAAACCGTTCGATTTTTGAAATACAGCCATGCCGAAAATAGTCAGGCCAACAATCAGTGGGCCACCTAGGTGCCTGATGAAGAGAAAACTAAGGCAATCTAATTAGATAGTACCCCATGTGGGGGACACACACAACATTGTTACATCGCTGAGTGATGGATGGTGGGGTCCACGGGTGTTTGTGGAGGCCACGCCCGGCGAGCGTTCATCCTGGATGTGGAGGAGTTCCGGTGCCCGCGCCGGTGATGGGCGCGGGGGAACGGGGATCATGCGGTATTCACATGAGACGTAGAGTGAGTGAGCAACGCATCATCGAATGTAACTTCCAACGCATTCATAACTGCAAAGGTTCTTTTACTTCAAAACAGACCCTGAGTGTACTCCGTGGATTTGCAGATGCACACGCCCTTACTGTATCTTACATTTGACCTGAGCCACACATTATTACACGTACGGATACACCGTACATCAAATTTACCAGATAATTATCTTCGCGTGAACCCTCCTGAGCCACGTCTTTTCGCAATATCCCCATAGCAATTGGGTGACCGAACCTTCTTTGACAGGCACACCTCCCCTCTCTGACTAGCTAGCCATGTCCCCAGGGCTGAAAAATGTAAACACGCTGGCCTGTCCGCTATCAAACTTTGACTGAGCATGCCCTTTAGGTTATCATTGTCGGGGCCGGCCCTGCTGGGCAGCTGCTAGGGCTGCTTCTGGGTCGGGACGCCATTCCCGTTACGATCGTCGAGCAGACATTGGAGCTCGACGATAAGCCCAGAGCCACCCACTACGCTCCACCGGCGATGAAGGTCCTGAATCGCGCCGGCCTGGGGAGCGACCTGCGGAAATACGGGTTTCTTCCCGATGGAGTTGCATGGCGCAAGCCAGACGGGACGCGCATTGCGGGCATCAGCAACGAGATTGACGGTGATGATCCAGATCGCATGGTTGCACTGCCCTTGTGCGACCTGGCGCGGTTGATCTACGATCACTCGAAGCATCTACCATCCGTCACGTACCTGTTTCATCATCGGGTGACAGCAATCGGTCAGGACGATTCCCGTGCCTGGGTCGACGTGGAGAACGGGGACACAGGGGACAAGTCACAGCTTTTTGGTGACTTTGTTATTGGGTGCGACGGGGCTAACAGTATTGTCCGGCGATCGTTGTTTGGGAACGAATTTCCTGGCAAGACATGGGATGAGCAGATTGTGGCCACGAACGTAGGTTATACCTTCTTTCGGCCCGTTGTCGATGTGGTCCTCTCTATCGAGAAGCCCGGGTGCTCGAGTGTCAGGTCGACGAACTGATGATCTCACAGGTCTACTACGACTTTAGTCGCTTTGGGTACTCAGACTCCAACTTCATTCTAGACTCAAAGGACTGGTTCATGGCGGCCAAAATCACCAAAGATGGCCTATGGCGTGTAACGTATGGTGAAGCTACGGGCTCGACCCCCGAAGATATTCTCGGCAGGCAGCCGGAGAGGTTTAGAAGTATACTACCTGGACACCCTAAACCGGACGAGTACAAGCTCGTCAGTATCAGCCCATACAAGGTCCATCAACGGCTAGCCAAGAGAATGATTGCCGGCCGGATTTTGCTCGCTGCAGATGCAGCGCACCTCTGCAACCCCTTGTAGGCATCTTTGCTCTTTTCGCTCGGTAATTTCCGTGGCCCGTAGCGCGCAGGTTGTGCTGACGATCGTCATGGTAGTGGGGGTCTCGGCCTCACCGGCGGCATCGTCGACGTCGAAGGCCTCTACGAGTGTTTGTCCGGGATACATCGCAATAAGGCGAGCCGGAGCATTCTGGAAGTCTACGACCAAGTGCGGCGACAGAAGTATCAAGACATTATTGACCCGATATCCAGCGAGAATTTGCGCCGCATGTTCAGCGTCCACCCCGACGAGGTGCTGGCTTCCGACCCGTTCCTCAAGCTTTGCAAAGATGCTGAATCGGATCAAGAAAAGCTGAAGGAACTGAGCAAGGTGAGTTTGGATGACAGGCCACTCTGACGTTTTGATCGTTATTTCTTTTCGGTTTCGCAGTCTGGCTCACAAAAAGGTTCTCCTGGCAGGGCGCACAAGCACTGGGCTATGACTTTAGGAAGCATTACACTTCTGGAGATGGTGGTGTAGGAGGGGGACTAGGCACTCGTCTTTAGCAACAAATAAGCTGAGCTAGCAGCGAAATAGAAGACTCACCGGCCCAAATCGATTGGTTCTCGGGAGAAGCCGAACCACCATAGCAGAAAAAGACCCGGCACTGGGAGCATTGTTTGCCGCAATAGGCTAAATGCAAATATGCTCGATGTTGTCGAATCTTTGACAATGCATGAACTGTCAAACTGAACCAGCAGAATGGTAGCTTCTGCCACACCGTTGGTCAGCCCTGTGCGCCTGGCTACTAAGGATGAATTGCCGACAACTAAACTTTTGAAAAGCGTAACAGACAGACTGCATTCGGGACACCCGATGGCAAGCTCGTCCAAGCACACGAGATCTCGCAACCCACAAGGGGGTGACGGGGGGGAGGGTGTGTAGGGAAAAACTCTGACCAAAAGAAACAGCGACGAGAAAACATTGACCTGTGGGTGATCCGTTTCTTCTGCCCTGCACAGAGTCGGCTCGCAACTGTGCCCTCTCAAGGGAAACAGGGAGAGGGAGGGCAAGCGCCGTGAGCCACAATAAGCGCAGGAGCTGTCAAATCAACAAGAAGCGCAAAGAAAGTTCGCCGGATGTTCGATCTCACGGTAATTCGCTTTCGCTATCCCTGAAAGCTTCTGGTTCACTTAGCTTTGTGCAACCCAAGGAGAAAATAGCTACCCGTGCAAGCCTCTCGAATGATTACCCGGCAAGTGGGCAATTTTGGCTAGTTCTTGTCTGGCAATACCTCCGCTTACCAGGTCGCCGTGCAATGGCTGAACCTTAATAAAGACACATCACGGAGCGGTCCGATTGGGAGGGAACAGTGATAGGCCAGACAAGGACGCTGACCATCACTTCTCACTTATACGCTGCAAGTCCCAAGCGGCAAGCCAGCATACCAGCGGGTGATTATACGACAGGAATGGACGTGGAAGATAGCACATAGGGACCCGTAAGGAAGTGGAAGGGGGTGCAGGCTGGCGATAATCAAGGGTGTTCCTGTTCGACCGAGCTTGAGATTCATGGCGACCTAAAAGAGACATGTGAAACCACAGCTGCCCGAAAAAGGGCATAAGGGAAAAGGATGAAATGTTCGGGGGAATTTGGCATCTAGTGTCTGATAACAATAAGGTTTGAGGCTGCCCCCGAAGGGCGCATTTGACGGCAATTTGGGAAGCCCACCGGCAGGCTTCTCTCGGGGGTTGCTGGCGCTGGTGAAAAAAGAAAAAAAAAAGAGAAGCTGAGGCCAAGAAGCCGGTCCCCGGTCGACATTCCACGAGTAGAGACGGACGGTTGAATAGCAGCCCTAACAGCGAGAATTGTGGCTGGGCTCAGACTGACTGTTTCCAGGCAACCTTACTGGGACGGGGATGACGTCGGCTAGCCGACGCCACGTAAACTCTATTTGTATGACGCTTTTTCTTTTTTGTGTTCCAAAGGTTGAGCCCCTGTTCGTGTTATGTATGTGCTGGAGTGTGTGTGTGGCATGTCCCTGTGTGCGTCCTCTGAGTGTGAGTAGCTAGGAGGTATGAAAGTGCGTGTCGGGGGCCGCTAGTACGGAGTACACCAGTCAGTCAAGTCAGTCATGTCAGGTATATCGGGTCATACAAGGGGTTAACTCGGGTTCAAGCGTCACTGTCACGACTCTGACTTGCAGTAGTGTTGAGTTGTAAAAGTGTCAAGTTGCGAAAGGTTGCTCCAGCTCGACGAAAGGGAGACTAGGCCGAGCCAGCCCGTTTCCTCGGGCATGCTTCCGTAGCAGTGCAGCGGCAGTAGCAGCAGCCAAAAACACGTGAGGAGAAAACCTTTTTGTCGAGCCGTTTGCAACTGTGGCTGTGACGGCGCCGCTAACAAATACAACAAGCGACAAAAGTGTATGATGCCGAGGCGGATCGTTCTGCCCAGTTCCACCCCCCCTTCCGCCTCGGAATTTCTGCCCACGCAGTAATTCGGTTCTGTCTGCCCATCGACGATCCTTGCTTGACCAGGTTAGGCTGGCGTTTGATGGGCTAGACTCTGGCTACGTGCTCCTCGTCTCTCTCGACTGATGCTCACTCGCAACACACCCACCGGGCCACGGTACAACACCCACACCTCTTTCTCCTCCTCAGCCATAGATACATGTATACACACCCAGGAGGAGAAGAACAGACTAAGACAGGCTCGGCTTACCTTGCTTTGGCACAACTGACCCCACCTCCAGAGCAAAGACGAGCAGGAAGGTGGACCCTGAATATCTCGCAGTGATCAGTCTCACTGCGTCCTCGTTCTCTTCTCCGCCGTTAAAACTGTGCTGGCCTCCCACACTCTTCGGTTGAAAGTTGATGCCTGGTGCCGTTACCCGCCCGCAGGCCAGCTATGATACCCAGTAATCAACCGTTTGACAACGATAGAGACAAGCTTCGAACCGTCCTTCTTTAGGCTGTCTCTTTTGACACGTTTTTTGGTTCCTTTTTATTTTTCTTGATCCTTTAACCCTCGGCAAACGGTTGTCGATTCTTTCGATTTACCGCCATCAACCCACCCGGACATGGTGTTGAAGCGTCGACTAGTTGATTTCCAGCGCGAACAAGATCCCTTCGCCGTCAAGGTGTTTCTCCCGCCGACCGATCATTACCGCCAACGCAACTGGATCATGACGTCCCCGGAGCAGCAGATGGACACCCTGCGAGAAGGTCTTAGCCGGGTGATTCTAGACCAGCTTGCGGAAACTCTGCGGGATTATTCGTCTGGAAACTTGGCGAACCCGGTGCTTCGATTTGAAGCTTTCATTCAGGACGGCGAGCCGGGAACGCAGGGGCAAACACCCCGCTCTCCCGTGGTTTCGGTAAGTTGCATCTCCATGTTTATCATCGCGGGCTGGACCGCGCGTTGGCGCCGGAATGTGTGCAAGTGTTCAGCCTTCGTGCTGCCCGTGGACTCCAGTTCTACAGCGCAGACAATCCCGGAGATACCCAATCAAGACAGATAAAGAGCGGATGACTCAGCATCAACTGATTTACTGCTGGGTCTATTTCACTTGCTCCTCCGTGTTGTGGCATGGGTGGTTGGGTTGCAGGTTGGGTACGAGAGGGTTTTCTGCTAACCACCATCACCAACTATACAGAAAATGGTAGACTTGTCTGGCATCATTTCACAGAGCGCAAATAACAGCCCGAATACGAGCCATGCGGGAAGAGAAAACACCATCGAACACCCGACACCGCCCACCATCAGCCCGCAATTGATGATGGACGATGTGGCGGCAAGCGCCAGCCGGGCTTTTGTCCGGACACAACGGACGCCATCCCAAGGACCGCCACAAATGTCACCCGAGACCGATGCAAATGCTTTTATTCAAAGAAGAGGAACGGGAGCTCTACGACCAGTCAGGGGAGCCGCTCCAGTGGAGGAAGAGCAGCCGGACAGCCAGAGGCATATGCAGGTTGCCAACAACTTTCCTAAACGCGCAAAGATTCAGACAGACGTCGTCTTCATCCCGCAACAGTCGTCCATTGACAAATTCGTCGTCAGCGTTTGGGAGCAGATCCACGGTGGTATCAGCTTAGATCCCCAGAGTCTGCTTGAACAGTGGCAGCTCACGGCAACGGCAGCAACAGCAACCATCAACAATGCTGGCAAGATTCACGTTCCCGAGCAGCTCGAGCTCGGCTTGCTCCAGGCGCCCTCGGCAGACGGCACGCTGACTGAGATCGACATGGAGGGAACCTTCAACCGCAGCAACATCTTTTGCCGAAAGGTTACGCAAGCCAGCCGCGCGTGCCGCTCGATTGAGGTCATTGTCCAAGCGCGGTGGATCGAGCACTTCGACTCGTATGTCGAGCTGCTTGCCATCACGAACCCGGGCATGTCCCCTACCAAACGCCGCAAGGCGGCGCTGATTGAGGCGTGTAACGATTTTGGATGGTCTGAGAAGGAGTTGCGGAATAAGATGGCCATCTGGCGCGGCTACAAGGAAATAAAGGACGCGGGAGGTTGGGCCGCGCTCGTCTTCGCCGGCATGGGACTTTACCGCTTCTGCAAGTACCGAGTTGGATTTAATCCGGATAGCATGCAACGACTCCGGTGCCTCCGGCCCCGAATTGAGGTCGCCGCCGACACTCTTCACCCCACGTGGCGCCAACTACTCATGATTGTCGGCGAGGGCGCGCAACGTCGGTTCTGCGGTCACCCGCATGACTGGGTTGTCCGCCAGGACGGTTCGGACCCGGTTCCGCTCCGGTCGACATATCTCGAATATGACCCTTACTTCAGCTTCGAACAGCTCGAACACTCCGTCATGGACATGAGCGCGTGGGGCACCGATGATCCGCGATGGGTGCCGCCGATGAACGCCGTGGCTTGCGTCCAGGGCATGCACACATGTCACTCGTGCGGCCAGGAGCAGTCCGAAGACCCCAAGATCAACTCGTGCTACTGCTTCCCGACGCTATTCGGGTCCGGGCGTCGGAGCCCCTGCCCGGTGCAGGTGTTCCGGACCTCGGACGGACGCAACAACGGCCTGATGGCTCTTTGTCCGTTCGAGCGCGGCGCGGCGATAGGAGAGTTTGTCGGCCTCATCACAAAAGACTTGCAAAATATGGACGTCATGGATAGCTCGACGGGTGTCCGGGCCTATCAGATCTGGCAGGGACGGCAGGGCAACTTCACGAGGTTCGTCAACCACAGCTGCAAGTCCAACGCGCAATTCCAGCAGTTTGTGTGGATGAGCACGCAGCGCATCATCCTGGTGAGCAAGGGCATTGAGGCGGGTCACGAGGTCACGGTGGATTATTCTGGGAGCTACTGGCGCGGTTTGGACAAAGAATGTCTCTGCGGAGAGTCATGCTGTCGGTATAGGAACGCGGCTCGATAGGAGGAAGACAAATGCGATGGAGTGGACTCCATACTCTGTATCCGTAGAGGAGAATTATTACTACGAAGATTAGGGCGAAGCGGGAAACGGGGTCGAGTTCAGCCACAACACTACACACGGACGAAGCTGCTGCGGAGGCTGCGGCGAAGAGGGGGTGTGTGAACAAGACCCAATTCTCATGTTCCAGTGGAAGAAAAAGAAAAGATTAATCGCAACTACCGATCATGTTTTTTTACGATTTTAGGATTAGTCTTCGGGGTAGAGATACAGACGTGGACGGGCAGGCGAACAGATGCTTCAGGTTATTGATCGCAAGCCTTTCCTTGTTCCTAATCCTATTTGGTTAAAACATCCGAAGTCAGATTGACCAGTCAGCCGCCGCAGCATCCGAGACTCTGACAACATTCTTTTCTCCCTTCTCTTCTCCGCGACTGAGTCGACTGAATCAAACTGAATCGAGTGAGTCGCTGTTCGAGAGAAGGGAGGGAGGGAGGCACATAGGTAGGTAGGCAAATAGGTAGGCTCGGAAAGGATGGGTCCATTCCGAGCGCGTTTAGTGGTGACATTTAGCCCATATGACACCGGTAGATGAGCACCGCTTGTGTTGATCCTCGCTACATTCCAGTCCTCCATAAATCTAACCATGTGTCCTGTCCCCTCTGTCCGTCCTTGTAGCCATCTGTCTCTAGCTCACACTCACTGGCTCGCCGAGTTCGTATCAGCTAGCGGGTTCCAGGTTTGTGCCAACGCCCTACGCTAAAGCGGCTAAAACGTGCCCCTTGAATCGCAATGCTTTCGAACTACATTAGCTCGGGCCGCCGTTCCCCGACCAGCTTTTTCATCTTGGGTACTTTTACCCTTCTTAACTTCCGCCAAAGTCTCTTCTTCGACCGCTACGACGACTAGAAATTTTTATACTTTGCCAAAAGTACGCCAAAGGGAACGGCGGACTGGCCCGTTCTCCCTTCTTGGAGTTTGTCCCGAAGCTTTGAAGCTCACACCCAAGGCGGTCTGTGAACCATGGGACCGCCGCCGCGTCAAACAGGGAAGTCAGGGTCTGGAAGCCCTGAGTGTTCCGAGGCTTATGAACGAACCCTTTTTTCCCGCCTGCTCGTGAAGTGGGCGATGGCCTTATTCTTTTGTCATCGCGTCCCGCTACCCGACGGGAGTGTGATAAACTTCAGCGCTTCAGCAATGGACCGTGTAGCAAAATCTTGACGTAATAGAGAGTCCACTGGACCTCGTCTCTCGGACGAAAGGTCTTGTCCGCCCCGGTGGCCCAATCTCTTCTATGTTCCCCTTCTTCAGCCAGCCTTCGGGCTCCTGTTGGGACCTCGTTAGGACTGAGAACCTCGTACCCGAAAACTTTAGCTTTTAGCGGATGTGTCTGCGATAGCGAGATAGGTATGCGGGTGTGCGACTGCATTGCCCATCAGATCCCGCAGGCTGTTGTGGGCTCGGTAGCAGGCTCAGTTGGCCTTGTGGCGCCTCGTGTCTTTCGTTTCTCTTGTGTCGACTACCTATACGTAGACCGTCGCCTTTACAGTTTCGACGGGTTTTCAGGATTCCTCATAACCAGAACTAGAAGCATATTGACAGCTACTAGTTGTGGACGCTAATGGATGCTCCCCATCATCACTGGCGCGCGTGAACATGTGTATTATCTCGCGCCAACCACCGTCATCTCACAGCTCAGGGGGGGGCGCATCAGGGGGTGCTAATGAGCCACCAAAGCCCGAAAATAACATTCATGAGCACTAGAAGACCAAGACCGAGGATCTCGAAAATCCCCCGCACATCTATACTAGCAAGATGAGGATCAGAGTCCATGTGGCTTGCGAGCTAAGGAGTGATCATGCATCTCGGGCCTCATCCGGGAGTCTTCCCGCTCTCCTGAGACCGTGTCCCTCAACCGCTGGTTCTTACTGGCGCCGATGCCAATGCTCACCACTGATCCATCCCGCGCTTGACACATCGGCATATCGCAGTTAGGGGGAAATCCCACACATTTCCATATTGTCGATGCGCAGAGGCCCTCGCAGACCTCGCGGAGGCAACTGTTAGCGATCAGCTACCAAGAACATGAACGAACACAGACACTACGTAGCCTGGACCGAAAATCTCACAGTGATAGAAGGGTCTCGTGACGGACGGCGTCGTCTCACACTACTGCAGGGCACAGAGAGCTGAGCAAGTACCGGTAGCCTTTTTGAGCTGACACCTCTTGGGCAGCTCGAACCGCACCGGTGCGTCCCCGAACTTGGGTTGACCGTGTAGTAGTCAGACAGTCTTTGACCGTTTCCTTGGCGTCCCATGGTCCTCGTCAACTCTGAACTGTTTAATCGACTGTTTTGACATGCTTCCCTCACTTCCAGAAGACGGGGCTGACCACACCCACCCCCCTTCAGGCTCCTCTCCCCCTTCTTTTCACATCATGCTTTGACGAACGGACATTGGAAAAACGGCCCATTTAGACCGTTTCGCTTTGGAGTCCTCGGATGGTTCTTGATGGCTATTTCTAAAAATTGCCGAGAACGAGAGCCGTTGAACACGTTCGAGTCAACTCCAAGAGTGGGCTATGTAGTACAAGTCTAGCGATAGTGGTGCTGAGGATCCCGCCTACGAAGCTCGGCGGAGACGCCGTCGGGCACTAACAGCAGGAGAGAAAGGTTCTTCATCCTGACAGAACACCCCCTGCTTACGAGTTCGCCAGCACGCACCAGGCCTGATGAACGATTCTTATCATCGGTCGAGTAGTTAAGCCAGTTGTCATCCTTGTCCGCGAAGCAAGATGGTGTCCCATCCTGTGTCCGATTCTTTGAAATGCTATTCAGCAGGGTAGGCTGGACGTTGCCTTTGTGTGACGAGGCCCTGTGGTGCTAGGAAGCCTATAGACATGACCATGTTCGTCTGTTGAGCTAATTACTTACAGCGTGAACCAATTTTACCCAGCTCCGGTCCACCCCCAGCTTCACCAAAGATCCCAGATTTCAGCGTCAGTCAGCCCAAGAAAACTTTTTGCAACGATCGATCGAATCCCGTCGACTGAACAATCCCCTCTCCCCATCACTTGATACTCCCCCTCATCCGGGGCCTTGGCCAGAGACTTCCGGGCCCAAGAAAGTTGTGAACTTTGGCTCTCTGGATCGTCTCGCTTGCCCCCAGCCATCGATTGGGACTGCTACCCAACAAACTTCTGCAGGAGCGAATAAAAGGTGATGATGGCTCGGCCATATCTCCTATTTGGCCAGAAAAAGAAACATAAACCTGGCCGAGAGATGTCAGACCAGCAACAGAGGCAGCCAGGTTCCGGGGCTGAGAAGCATTACTGCAGTGTCACGCAACAATCACGATCTGTTCCCGCCGGGAATGAACTCCCGGTCGGTATGCCACACTGGCAGGCAATCATTGTCTCATCGAATCCCCTCTGACGGACGACTCCGGGGACACGCAATCGGAGGCCCAATGGCGCCCAAGCGGTTCCCGCCGGCTATGCCTTCGTCGGGACAACTCGCGGCTAGGTCCCTATTGGCCGAAGCTCGGGATCAGGATTGGCGCGTGAATATGGCGAAAGCCTCGTTGCAAGTCGTTAGCCACAACTATGCAACCTGCAGGTGGTCGTAGTACGACTGTTCGAGTTGTCGGAGTTGCCTAACTAAGATCTTGCTGTTGGGCAAAGTGGTTGGTAGTGTCAACTCCGACGAGCCAAGAAAGAGCGTTGGAAGTCCAAAGCCTTTTGCTATCAACTCCATGTGTCTACTAACCAACAAATCGTGCGTAAAACGATCTCAACAGGAAGCTCAGGCTTAGGAGATTTGCCTAGAAATTTCCAGGAACCATGGAGGACTGTCCAATTTCCTGAAGAAGAGGACCGGGTTGAACCAGTAAGTAAAATCGACTTTTCCTACACAAATTAGACGCGTTGGTTGAGATGAAATTGAGAAACCGGAAGAGTTTTCGCTGACTGAGATCTGTGTCTGATTAGCAATTCTACACGTTGACCGACGACACGACTGAACGAGCAAATAACTAAGACTCTCAGTGAATCTGCGGATTCTGCTTCCTCTATACAATTTTCGAAATCCCTTGACATTTTTGTCTAGGATTTGTCGAAAGGTTCCTTGACTCTAGCAATTGAGGCAATTTGTGTAAGTGCCGAGCGACAACTGGTTGAAACCTTACACTTGTCGCCAATCCATTATCGGTACGATATGTGTTGCAAAGATTTGAAGTCCCAGCTCAGTGCTGAATTCAAGGATGTTCCAAGAGCAACATATTATTTCTATAGCGTATTTTGATTTCTAGAGAGGCAGACAAGTCAATTCAGCTGCGAATTGCGTCTTGTACACCGCTTTGAAATGCTGCAAAATCGATGGCGATGGGGTAGGGAAGTAGTGACAATTGTTCAGGTTATTTCTTCTACCACTTGTGGATTTCTAAATTGCCCAATACTGAGACTCGCAGGTTACCTTAGCGTCGGCCGAATCGAAAAGAAAGCAGCGTTTCCGCGGACAGGACTTCAAAGTCTTAGGACGATTTTGACAGCCGTAGTAGTCACCCGACGTCTTACAAAAGTGTCTCACAAACATTTACGTCAACTTTGACACATTGCGAATACGGGAAACAAAGCCAACAATGAGCCAATGGCAGTCTATTTGTGGACTATACCAACGAATCAGCGCCTTTTCACGATAACCTGGGAGAAGCCTGGACAGTTCTATGCTTTGACCTCGCAGGCTCGCAGGCCTTCCCTCTCTTTTTCTCCCCGCAAGTTCGCAGCGTAGACCAGATCGGATGGCTGACAGTGTTTCTAGTTTCTATAGATTTGTATCAAGTCACGTGCGAAACTTCCTATCGAATTCATGCGTAGCGAACGGCGGAGGTCTGTAAAGTTCTGTTTGTCGGCTTTACAGAGCTTCCTCGTAAGTTGAATGATTTCAAAAGCCGATCCCTTCGAATCCGCGGGCGCCGAGCCTACCCCAACGAGCCGATTTTGGATA